TATATATATATGTATATATATATATATATATGTATATATATACGTGTATATATATGTGTGTATATATACGTATATATATGTATATATACATATATATGTGTATATACATACACTGAAGTTCCAGTCGACCTGTCTTTCTCCCCTGTAGCTGCTTACGAAACCTAATTCTTTATATGTTGGTATTTATTGTTAAATGTTATTAATATTCACATTTTCGGTATATTCAATTTTATTCAATTTGTTACGTAGTTGTTTTGATGATAGTAAATTTACAGTAAAATGTGAGCTACAGTCTCTTGATTTAGCTTGCAAATTTTTATTTCTTAAAATTTCTTGTACATATCTATTGTATATTTTTAGTAAGGATATGTGACATTTAAGTTGAAGCCAATTTAGGATAGTAGCTAAAAGACCGGGTTTTTTTTTTAGCTTAATTTAAAGGTCATCTTCTTTGTCACAGTATTGCTGTCTGTGTAAAAGGTAAGTTATGCATCTGTTGATGGCTAAGATTCAGTCTGATAAGATTCAATCACAAAAGGTCATTTGGACAAATATTCTTTATATTAACAAAATATTGTCCATATTCTATCATACAAATGTATTGTTATAATTGCTTTCTAATCTATTGAAATTTTTTTGTCTTGAATTTAATGCATGTGCAGTTACTTCAAAAGATTTTGACAGTCCAAAGATATTTTGTAAAGATTAATGAGAACATATTCTTGTCAACAAAATAAGTTTACCACATTTAAGACATTTGTAAAAGTTGTATTTTTATACATTTTATGTGATATTTATCCATAAATGATATGCTAAAATCAACCAACCACTCAATCATATGTGCTACTGAAGTTTTTTCACTGGAGAAATTTATTCCACAGTTCTGGAGTTGGAGTGCTATCCTTGAGGAGCAATAAGCAATGAGTTATTTTAGATAGAAAGATCAAATAACGTGGAAGCAAAATGACAGAGAACACATCCATCTGATAGTGTGTCCGAGGTTTTATTTTCATTTTTATTTCAGTTTTCAGCTTTTTATTATCATCACACTGTCAGGAGTACAGAGCAATGATTCATTAATTCACTTTCTGCATTTAACCCATCCCCTTGGGTAGCAGTGGGCTGCCATTGTGCAGCACCCGGGGAGCAGACTGGGGTTAAGGGTCTTGCTCAGGGACCCAGATTGGCAGTCCATGGGAGTATGTGGGACTTGAATTCTGAACCTCTAGACCAAACGCTCTAACCACTAGGCGACCACTCACCCTGTAAAGTTAATTGTTTATTTGCCAAAATAGAGTTCTCTTGCTAGCATCATTATTACGTTTTAAGTTACAAACTTCTTCACAAAGATGCTCCTCTAAAAGGAGATGCTGTTTTGCTGTGATTAATTCATTGTTGCAAATGTTCACATACAAGGTAAAGAGTTAAAAGGTTTGGGTAGGGAACAATGCTCAACAGCCTTTCTAGTGAAAATGTGTTTAATGTTCCATTAAGTCCTGCATTGTCATCATTTTGTTTACAACAAAAAGGTCGCCTTGCATTTTTTTTATCACACATCTGACTTATAGAAACTCTACCCTGATGTTGATGGCAAATGCATTGTGATGCTTACAGTGACATTAAGAAAGAAAATGGAAAATGTACGTTTTAAATTTCATATTGTAAATTTCATTGTAGTTTGATCCACTTGGGATTATATAATCAAATTTGTTGAACGGTATATTGATCGGCTTACAATCTGCCCAAGGGGTGCGAAACAATCATGTTGACAATATGTTTAACGAGTCAGATGTATGACCTCAACTGAAATTAAATGACAAACATGAACATGTGGAAAATTAACAAACTTTAAAAGATCTGAAAGGCTTGAGATTTAATAGTTTAGACCAAGACTTGTGTAATATAATACAAATCAATTTAGAGCAGTGCACTTTAGGTGGATAAAGCAATTATTTGCTTGGTTTAAAACCAAGACAATGTACTGTGTAATACAACCTAGAGATATCATTTTATTCAAACTGATAATAACTAGATGATGTCATTTAAACCTCTTAACCTTATTAGTTATGTTGCTAAAAGTATTACATTTGCCTTGCAATGACCCTCATTAGGCAAAAAGATTTTTCATTTTCATATTGTGTTAATTACTGATAGAAATCATCAATAATTCATCACAGCTCTTACTGTATAAAATCTGAACTTAACAAAGCTATTGAATATTTCTTCCCCCTCTTTATCTGAGCATGTAAATCATGCAAATTATGCTTTTACTTCCAACTTTGTAAAGGAACACCCAAAAAATTGTCAGATCTTCATGAAAGAAAGTGTTAACAAGTATCGTTTCCCCAATGCTTTGTATGAATGCCTAAAAATGTCAAGCCATGATTTTATGAATTTACTGGACTGTCTACTGGATTTAGGTAACTGGGACATGCAGACACAACACTGTTAATTATTTTACTCTCATGGAAACTACATACATGATAATGCCTGGTCTGATAAGGAAAAAAATATGCATCAGGAGAAGCCTTGGACCTACTACACCAGCAACTGGTCTAGCAGTGGTTCTGATGAGGACATTTAGATGTCTAATGGTAGTCGTAGTCAGTGTGCATCCCTCCATGGACATGCCTACCCAGAACAACACTAACTGATCATGCTTAACAATATTGCAGTAAGCATTGCATCCTTCACAGCATCCCCACCCTTTCAACTCTGTCACCTTAGCTCAGGATGAACCTGTTCTCAGCTGTGAAAAGAACAGGGGGGCCAGTACAAAACCTACAAATTCCTGCATTCTCTTGGAAATGCCAGATAATCCATGGTTCCCCTTAAAGGACCTACTGGAATGTCTCACTCTTTCTAATATTTTGGTCAGAGACATTCCTGTAGTGCACCACAGAAGGTAAATTTGTAGAGCTCTGGTTATACTCCCGTTTCCTCCTTGCACATAGAAGCAGTTCCTGTTCATGGGTTAAGGACCTCTGATGAGCCTGGCCAGCTCTCATATGTTTTGAGGGAGAAGCAGAGAATCTTCTAGCATTGCTATATGTAGATTTACCCCCTATGTGGAGAGAAACTGCCCGAGCAACCTTTGGAGTGTGCAGGTATTGTTTCATGCTAGCAGTAGTGACACTGACCCTGGGTCAGTTTGCCCATTCAATAAAGGAGGGGGGAAATATCAAGCCCCAATTACAAAACCCTTAGTTTTTTGTTGTCTAATTGCTCCTTTAGTGTACTTGTTGTTTTATTAATCACCAAACAGCTGACTCTAATCACCAGCCATCTCTACTCCCTGATCATTGTTCCTAAAGGTAACTGACTAGATAAACAATTATTAAAAATAGTTTCTTTAATTTTTTGGCAGTATCACTGGTGGAATTAGACATCTTAAAGGTACATTCATACAGAACTTGAATTTCTCAGCTGGAGAGTAGGATTCCCATGTTGTCTCTATGTAGAAGGGCGGATCTGGTGCAAAGCACTTGAGAGATTGAAAGAGAAGGTAACATTAAAACAATTGACCAAGTCAGTTTTGCTGTGACAATGCTTTCGGTCAGGGAAATGTTTTTTCTTACGGGCTGGTTATACAGGTAAAAGCCAGTAAATTAGAATATTTTGAAAAACTCGATTTATTTCAGTAATTGCATTCAAAAGGTGTAACTTGAACATTATATTTATTCATGGCACACAGACTGATGCATTCAAATGTTTATTTCATTTAATTTTAATGATTTGAAGTGGCAACAAATGAAAATCCAAAATTCTGTGTGTCACAAAATTAGAATATTACTTAAGGCTAATACAAAAAAGGGATTTTTTAGAAATGTTGGCCAACTGAATAGTATGAAAATGAAAAATATGAGCATGTACAATACTCAATACTTGGTCGGAGCTCCTTTTGCCTCAATTACTGCATTAATGCGGCGTGGCATGGAGTCGATGAGTTTCAAGCACTGCTCAGGTGTTATGAGAGCCCAGGTATCTCTGATAGTGGCCTTAAACTCTTCTGCGTTTTTGGGTCTGGCATTCTGCATCTTCCTTTTCACAATACCCCACAGATTTTCTATGGGGCTAAGGTCAGGGGAGTTGGCTGGCCAATTTAGAACAGAAATACCATGGTCCGTAAACCAGGCACGGGTAGATTTTGTGCTGTGTGCAGGCGCCAAGTCCTGTTAGAACCTGAAATCTCCATCTCCACAGAGCAGGTCAGCAGCAGGAAGCATGAAGTGCTCTAAAACTTGCTGGTAGACGGCTGCGTTGACCCTGGATCTCAGGAAACAGAGTGGACCGACACCAGCAGATGACATGGTACCCCAAACCATCACTGATGGTGAAAACTTTACACTAGACTTCAGGCAACGTGGATCCTGTGCCTCTCCTGTCTTCCTCCAGACTCTGGGACCTCGATTTCCAAAGGAAATGCAAAATTTGCTTTCGTCAGAAAACATGACTTTGGACCACTCAGCAGCAGTCCAGCTCTTTTTTTGCTTAGCCCAGGTGAGACGCTTCTCGCGCTGTTTCTTGGTCAACAGTGGCTTGACACGAGGTATGCGGCAGTTGAAACCCATGTCTTTCACGCGTCTCTTGGTGGTGGATCTTGAAGCACTGACTCCAGCAGCTGTCCACTCCTTGTGAATCTCTCCCACATTTTTGAATGAGGTTTTTTTTCACAATCTTGACAAGGGCGCGGTGATCCCTATCGCTTGTACACTTTTTCTGACCACAGTTTTTCCTTCTATTTGCCTCTCTATTAATGTGTTTGGACACAGAGCTCTGAGAACATCAAGCCTCTTCAGCAATATCCTTTTGTGTCTTTCCCTCCTTGTGCAATGTGTCAATGGTCGCCTTTTGGACAGCTGTCAAATCTGAAGTCTTCCCCATGTTTGTGTAAGCTTCAGAACTGGACTGAGAGACCATTTAAAGCCCTTTGCAGGTGTTTTGAGTTAATCAGCTGATTAGTTTGTGGCTGGTGTCTTCAAAATTTAACCCTTACACAATATTCTAATTTTGTGACACACAGAATTTTGGATTTTCATTTGTTGCCACTTCAAATCATCAAAATTAAATGAAATAAACATTTGAATGCATCAGTCTGTGTGCAATGAATAAATATAATGTACAAGTTACACCTATTGAATGCAATTACTAAAATAAATCAAGTTTTTCAAAATATTCTAATTTACTAGCTTTTACCCCGCAGCAGTGTGTCGCAGTGAGCTTGATGCAGACATTTTTGATTTATGCTAAATTTTGAAGCATGGTCTGCGCTATACGCTGTGGGTCTAGATACAGCCGAGGCGGTGAGGAAGTGGAGGCGAGTTTGTCCGACAATGGAGGGATATGAGGGCGAAAAAGAGCTGGGATCCAAGTGTAAAAGGGTTTCAGCTTTCTCGCGCACCTTGCTCTTCTAGCTAGTATAACTTCCAAGTTGTTTTCAGTAATTTCAGTCATAAAAACAAAACAAGCCGGCCTCCTGTCTGCTGCACTGTCTGCGGTCACCTACAATTTGGGAGAGGTGCAGCAGAGTGTCTACGGAGGGACGGGGACGTCTTTTTGGTTACTGCGACACCTACGTAGACGACCTAGTTTCGAAGTATAAATCAGCCTTAACTTTCCTCAAACAAAGAGAAAAAAAGATAATTTTGAACTCTTCCAAATCTCTCTGTACCAAACATTGCTAGAGCCAAAGCTGTGCTCTACTCTGCTGCACCATCTCCCAAGAGCTGCACCATCCTTCTTCAAAACACTCCCAGAAACTCATCTCAGGGACATTGGATGCTGCCCCCAACTGTAATGGGGATAAAAGGCTCTGCGCTCAAATGCTGTATCCTCTTTAAGCCCTAAACTTGCCAAACACGATTGAGCGTCCCATCAAACAGAAAATCATATTGTAAGAGGTCATACTATCAGTGCTCATTGCGAGTGAATGGGGATAAATATCCAACAAGATTTTCTGCAAGATCACTAGCGTAGCTCCGACTGAGGTGGAACTCATGTTTATTTTTGTTGCATTATGAAGAAATTCAGCGGCAATTCCATCGGCCTGACAGGAAGAGAGACAGGGTTACAAAGTGAAACATCCACTTTTGTGGGCAAATACAAAGGGAAAACAGTAAGGTTTGGAATACTGCAATACATATATAGCAGGCAGAAAAGACTGATATAAACAGTCAACATTTTGATAAACAGAAGAGGTAGAGAGGGAAACTACATTGGGGAGGACACAGGTACCATTGCTTAAAGGGGAACACCGGTTTTTTTACATTGGGCCCTTGATTTTACGTTATTACATCATGTTCTACTCACCCATATGTCATTTGGAGCCGTTCTGAAGATTCGGTTAGGTTATATCCAAGTAACGTCTTCCTATGGGCAATGACTTGAAGGCACAAACTAAACTGTTCATAATTTATCATTTATGGAACACCAGCATTCATAACATGTAGGCGAATCACTGTCCCCCAGACATTATGGGTTTACAGCATTAAAATCTTTCTTCTTTTTGCACATATTATCTTAGTTTAGCTGAATTTCACTATTAAAGTCCTTGACTGAAATATCTTTAGCTTGGAATTAGATTATTCCAAGTTAAATTGTCAATAAATTTTAATTTGAATGGACGTCATTATAGATTTAATCCCAAATGCTCCAACTAACACATAGCCAATTGAACTTGTGTTCACAGACAACATATGAAAATCTGCATTAGTTAAAAAAAAATCCTTCCCTCACATTGAATGGAAAGTTTTTGCATAACACAGTTATAATCCAACTGCAACATACTATTCTCCTTTGGAAAGAGTTATGTATCTTCATGCATCAGAAATGTCATTATTTTCCTGATTGAAAACCTTTTTTTTTTTTCATCAGCTTATCCCCACTGCTTTACCTTTGGCAGGTAACTACTCGAGCGTATGATGAAAACGGGTTTAAGTCTTTTATGGACGATTGATATTTCTTTAAAATTATGTAACAGTTTGATAGAACATCCTTGCAGGCTACCAAAAATCCTCCTTTATAACTTAGTCTTCAGATTCCTTTCATGCTTGGGTTTCTTCTTTGTCATCTCTCAAAAGCCTTAGTAATGGGAATGAACAATCATTGTACAATTTCTTTTGCAGTGTGATAATTATTTTTATCATAGCAGTGAACAGTAAGCAGTAATATTTGTAAACTCCAGAAACAACAAGCATGGTTGAGATTAGTAATGTTCCATTTTGTGAGCATTAGTTAATATAGATCCATGACAATATGTTTAAGTGCTTAATGTAACTCTTTATAGCTTTAAATGATATTTCTATTTTAATGATCTGTTTGGTCTTCATGTCTCCATTTACATAGATTTTGGCCAATGTTATTATTTTTGTTTGTGGCAACATGGCTGGGGCGTACCACAAGCATCTGATGGAGTTGGCACTGAAACAAACCTACCAAGACACCTGTAACTGCATCAAGTCCCCAATTAAACTGGAGTTTGAGAAGAGACAGCAGGTAATGAAGACTTCTTAATAAGTAGGGTAATGGTAAGGGATAGAGTAATGGTCTGAGTTAGGCCATTGAAATGAGTGCACTATGAATGGAAGTAAATGTAAAGGTCCTACAATAATAGTGTGAGCAAACATGGATGTGTTAGTATGTGTGTGTGCGCGTGTGTGTTCTTGTTTTTTTAATACACTGTGGGGCCCGTTTTCAGGGAAAATGGCATGATGTGGGGACTGCTAGCTCCTTTTGCCTGGACCCCATGTGGAGAATAACAGTTTTTTGGACAGGGGTCACGTTTAGGACTAAGGTGTGAATTGTGTTTAGGTTGGAGCATGTCATTAACCTGGCTTGCTAAATTAACCTATAGCCTAGTCTTCAAAGATTCCAAACAACTGGCACTAAATTTAATCTGGGCATGTTGCAGGTAATCAAATTAAGCTGTTTACTCAATTTAGTAATGTACTATGAACTACACCTGCTTTAAATATCAGCTTTGTTTGTGAAAACAACTTCTCCATCTTCCTCATTGTTGTATTTAATGTTTTGGTGACTTTACTGTTTTATCTTATCGGAGGCCAAACATATGAACAAAAATGAAAGAAAAAAAACACTAAAACCAAGTGATAGTATCCATTTTTATTTGGACACTGATTTCTCAATGCTTGTTTTGACTGAAATAGTCAAATACGTCTTAATTGTTATGAATATGTTTCCATTTACCGTATAAAGGAAGGTAAATGAATTGTATATTACTACAGACTTTGAGCTAAGCTAATCTGACAAAATTTCTAATGCTACTACTTTTATCATTCCTTTGTACATGTTTAAGGGTGTATCCAGTTGTTGTTTTGGAAGTCCACAGTTTGACTGGAGCAGTTTTCCCTCCTGAACAATGAGTTTGTGTTTTTTAACTGTTTGTGTGTGAGGCAAAAAATGCCTCAGGTGAAGTATTTTGCAGAGACCCTGGAGTATTGGCTGCACCGCTTTGTGTGACAGATGGTAGTATTTGTGTCGAGGCAGTTCTTGAAAGCACCTGGCACAATCATGAAGTATTCCATTTGCAGCAGGCTTTAAGAAAACGCTTTACAGTTTAATTTAGCAGCTACTACTTAAGGACCCATCTGAGCTTTACAAAATTAGGTTTTGGGATTTTTATTTTTTATTTTTTGCTTACTTTTGGAAAACTATGACTTTAACAGTTTGTTAATTTGTTTAATGTTAAAATATTATTCTGTTTTTGTTTCTTTTCTGCTACTGTCTTCAGGAGCGTCTTCTTTTGTCTCTACTGCCAGCTCACATCGCTCGAGTAATGAAGGCTGAGATCATCCAGAGACTGAAGGGCCCAAACTTTGGCCAGATTGAGAACACAAACAACTTTCACAACCTCTATGTCCAGAGGCACACTAACGTCAGGCAAGTAGAGGTTTATTTTGATTATTTAAATACCACTGTCAGAAAAGATTTGGCCTTTGCAGATTTATTGTTCTTTCAGATAATAATTTTAATTTTTTTAAGAAAGAAACTAATCTGACTTTGTAAAAATCTAATTGTCTGCAAAACCTAAACCCTTTTCACACTCTTTATGACAAAAAATGCATTTAAACATTTGTGGTTATTGGGTGGAGTGTTTTTTCTTCTCTGTAGAAGAAATTCGGTCTTCTGATATTAACAAACTTAAACTTAGGTTTTGTTAGCATAGTATAACATTTTAAATACTACTCATAGCAGCAGTCAAGACTTTGACTAGGCTGCAAAATGTTGCTGATTTGCTTTAGAATGTTGTTCTAATTCATATAAGTGTGGTTGAGTTTAAGGTAATAAAATGATAAATGGAGATTGTTTTAAAGATTTTCTGCCTAAGTAAAGCATTCATGGTTTCATCATTTCAGCCAGTCATCCAAGACCTGAGGTAGCTGAGTAGTTTGAGAACATCAAACTACCACTACTGTGATTAACTCTCAAGAATGCTTTCAGCTTTATTCCACATCCATCAGGATACTGATCATTAGAAACCCTTTTTTTGCACCTGGGGTTTGCACTTTTAAAGTAGTCATAACTCAGAAATTGGACTTTGTATTAACTTTGACTTGTATTAGTGTTGAGCTTCAGTTAAATCCTGCAGGAAAATCAGTTATGTGAAAGTGGGTTGTTATTTTCCACGTCAGCCCTTTGTTCAAACCTAAAAGGTCCATAAGATCAAGATCTCCAAGAAAGGACTATTTGGTCATTCTCCTAGATTGATATCTCAAGGAAGAGTACTGACTTTGGTCAGACTGCCTGTCTCTATTTCACCAGAAGGAGCAATTCCTTTTTTGTTTGTCCTGTTTTGCCATTATAGCACTGGGAATAGATTTCCCAGAGTTAGATAATAGTCCAAAAGATTTGCTTTATGATTTTTTCCAACTTTCCCATGTGACATCCATTCGTGGATGCTGGCTTTTAATGAGGTTCACTGTCATTGGATTCCCAAATACTTACAAATTACTTGGACCTTTTCTAGACCAATAGATATAAATCACTTTCTCATTTCTTCTTGAATGTTTTTAAATTAGAACTGGCGTTTGTGGTATTTGATCTTTTCTTAATGTTATCTGAATGATAATGTTTAAGTAAATTCTTCATTATAAATGTCTTCCAGTAATCAAGGCTGGATATGATTAAAGAATAGCTGATTTTAACATATTCATTGAAGTTATATAACACATAATTTGCCTGATAAGAAGCACTTAAATCTGACAACAAAAGGCAAAAACTGCAAAAAAATAAAAATTTGTTAGAGATTGAAAAGTTTTCTTCTGATGATGTTTGACCAAACCCGAATTCTAATTTGGCTTATGAGTTGTCTGCTTGGGTATGTGAACAAAATCAAAGTAACTATTTCCTATCCTTATTAGCATTCTTTACGCAGATATAGTTGGATTTACGCGCCTTGCCAGTGACTGCTCACCAGGAGAACTAGTGCATATGCTGAATGAACTGTTTGGCAAATTTGATCAAATTGCTAAGGTAAAAAGCCTTTGTTTAGTTCAAGTCTTTATTTATTTATTTTACATTAAAAAAATTTCTTACACCCAATATTTAATAACTTTACTGTGCAATTGTATACACAGGAAAATGAATGCATGCGGATCAAAATTCTTGGCGATTGTTATTACTGTGTGTCCGGCCTCCCAGAGTCATTGCCCAACCATGCAAAGAACTGTGTGAAAATGGGTCTGGACATGTGTGAAGCTATCAAGTAAGTGGCACATATATGAAGATAATATTTTACACACCTTGTAAAACCGTGATTACCTTTCTAAATGTTGTCCAACTCACATTCCAGTTTTTCCCAACTTGAATGTTTTTATTAGTTAGTGATGAGTGGATTAGTTATGACTAAACTAATGACGGAGAGAATCAAAGTCTAAGCCTGGGCAGTATGAAGAAGGTTTCATTCCCTTAAGGAAAAACTAATATATAAAACACCATTCAACTCATTATAAAAATGTGATTGTCACTTTAAATTACAACAAGACAGACAACCCATAGTTGTAGGATTTATTGTTTTACGGAGCACAGGGGACATGTCCTCTGCACTTTTTTTATAAAGTCCATTTTGGTCCCTTGCACTTTTTACTGTCCAAAAACAATGTTATGCTACAGTACACAGACATTTGTCGAGCACTAGGACCAAGCCGATAAACCGTGGCTCAAGCTAAAGCCCTCTGTCTTTTCCTGTGTGATTGGCTGTCACCGCTGCCACTCCTGAGATGCTAACTCTATGCACCACTGAATCGAGTCTGTGATTGGATGGTCATAGAGCTGCTGAAGACCTACCCGCCCCAGTAATTAGAAGAATTGTAGGGTCGCAAGTCTTTTGAGATAACTTAAATGGTCCAGGAGGTATGGTCTTGTAGAAAAACATGGGTCTGCAAAAGACGACTGTTGGTGAGGGAGTCTGCTACTGTAACTTAGGCATTCTTTTATTCCCTTGGATCACATAATCTGAAAGGGTTTTAATATCAGGTGTACTAATTTACACACATTTTTGAATTAATGTCATGTGCTTGTGTGTGTTAAGTTATTTATCGTTTAATTAAAAGTGCTGATAAATCAAATGTATGAATGTTAAATATTATTATTATCATTAACAAAAAAAATCAAATACAATCTGTTAATGTGATTTTATACATCCAAGCTGATACTAATTGTAAAACTGTGTCTTTAAACTACATGGATTGTTTCATCATAAATTGTCCAGTTGTTAATTTCCTGCATCCATATATTTTGTCAGGAGAGGGATAGCAGTGATACAAGAGAAAATGGGGGGAAAAAAACACAGAAGAATTAATAGAAAACGTGCTGAACTTATATATAATAGTTATATAAAAAAATACTATTATCCCCTCCACTTCTGAAATCATAATTTCGTCTATGGGTTTACATTTGCACTGGATTTAAAGAACATTTTTGTTTTTGTGGTTTTATTTTTTTGTACACCGTAAATATGAATGTGGCCCATACAGGATATATATTTTCCAGTGTGGACTAGGGTCTGTGAAAATGTATTTACAAAAGCACAGTTGAATTTTAGTTTGTATTATATTTCCATCATGTTTTTTTCATTCATCAACGTAAGTCAGCAGGCATGCTCCATTACAAGTACTGTACATAACTAACTTTGTGGGTTTGATTTACTAGTTTACCACTTTGCATCTGACTGAAACATCTGCTGATGAAAATTTAACAGGTTAGTTCATACAGGCAGTGAATCATAGAGCAGACCCTACTTACTTCCCAAAGTGCATACTCTACATTGAAAAAAGTCATATTAATGGGGGAACTTGGATCAAATTAGCAGCTTAATTGGGCTCAGCTGCTACTTTTTTAACAGATGACATTGCACAATCCGGCAGGGACATCGTAAGATTATTTTTTTAAGATTGAGAGAAGGTTTAGAAGGCCATCATCTTCATAGCTTTTCAAAGCTGTTTCAAACGTTACAGGCTTTTTCAAAATTCATTTATTATTTTTAGTACATTTACAGATGACTCCTGATCCAGTTTAATTTTTGCTACACTTTACACACCAAAATAAAACTCACAGGTTTAATGAGTAAAAGAAAATATTAGGCAGTGCTTGGCAAAAATAGTAAAATAAATTAGTAAAATTAAAATTAGATGAAGGCTTTTGGAGTTAGCATCCTAATTTGTGCCAACTCTTTTTAATGTAATTGGACGATTGATTCAAAGACTATTTTAAGGGCTGTGTTGGGCAATTCCTTCTTCATTATCAATTAGTGAAAATTGTAGCTCCTACCTTTTTTTCCCGTCACCTTTTGCAACAACAGTAAGAACACTGTAATGCCAAATGGCATTATATTAATTTTGGACATTGACGACCAATGTCAGTGACCTGATCTTTATCCAACTGAGTATCCATGTTTGAATGTTAACCCCACTGAAGACAGGCAAGCCCACAAACCAGCAGGAACTGAGTCCCTAAGGTAAAAGCCTGGTGGAGCATTTGGAAAAGAGGAAAACCAGCATCAACTAATAATGCTAAATTCAAAGCTTCATGCTGTCAACGTCATTTGAGCTAGGGAAACCAAGATATTATGTTTAATAAAGGCTACTTTTCTTTAAAATTAATGCAAACTTTTTATATAGCCAACTGAATTAAGGCTGAGAATCTTTTTTATAGAGTTTTTTTTATTTGATTATCTTCATGGTAATGTACAGCACCCAAATAGCAAAAAGATAATCTAGACAAATCATGTCATCAGACTCTTAAGTTCAGTAGTAGGTTATGTAAAAGGCTGTGATACTTTTATTCATAAAGGGATAAGTTAAGGATTCTTTTTTTGTTTTAATCAAAATATCAATTATGTAGGCAAACCTAATTTGATTATTGTTGGGCAGAAATTTCAGTCTTTAAACAATCAAATATAAATCTAATAAATGTAAAGAAATATTAGACTTTTATTACATGCAGTCCCCAAGAAAATATAAAAGACCACTCTTTTTTGTTGTCATGTTCATTGTATGCATCAGTAATATAACATTTAAAACAAATGATTGGAAGTCAAGAGTAATATGACAACTTTTTCAACAACTGTATAAATTAAGCTCTCTGGAGTGTGTGTATGTGGGAGATTTGGGCCCAATCCCAAACCGGCCCCTAAGCACTAACCCTTCACTATCAAGTGTCACTCCCAATTAAGTCTCACTTTCAGCTGTGGAAGGCGCCTTGCTTGAAGGTGTGGGGGTATAAACCAGAATTGGAAGGCTTCTTCCCACCAACGGAAAAGGAAAGCAGTCGTTTCTAAGGCAACGCAGTGACACCCCATGTGCATGGATGCAGCTCTGGGGCGCAGGTTGACATTACATTAAACATTTGGCCCTTTCTTAAAACAAATTAATACGGTCAGATAAAAATATTTCAGAGAGGACCTTTCATTTTGGAATTAATTAATTTTTATATACTAACTTGTGATTTTCTGTCAGTGTAACAAAAATGCAGCAAACTAACAGAATTTACATTCGGTGGAACGTGTTTCCTCCGCCACCAGGCCGCTGTTACACCTGCTGCCGAATTCCAGCGAGCCTGCATCTGATGCAGACTCACTATTTAAGGGCTGAACGGTCCAATGGCCCTACCCACTATGGGGTTTGGAATGGCACTTAATATGGCGGGCTGTTCGGGGGAAAGCACAAATGCAGGGTTAGTGCTCAGGGTTAGTGCTTGTGGGCCAGCTTGGGATTGGGCCTTGGTGTTGTATTTGTACACTTTTGCTACAGAGAAATGGAAACTTTAATATTTTTAACTAAAAGATTGTATAGGTTCTCTTATGCTTTATTGAATACTATTTTTCAATGCATTCCAGGAAAGTACGAGATGCTACAGGGGTTGATATTAACATGCGTGTTGGTGTACATTCTGGGAATGTCCTTTGTGGTGTTATTGGACTTCAAAAGTGGCAGTATGATGTTTGGTCACATGACGTCACATTGGCCAATCATATGGAGGCAGGAGGTGTACCAGGGTAAGTAAAAAATAAGTTAAATAAAAACACATTGGTTTAAGGTCTGTTTTATGAAGTCTTACATTTTCTAACTCTTTATCTGTTGAGAATTTTTTTTAAAAATAATATCAATAAATATATCCCCACATGACCAATCACTTCATTTTCAGACGAGTTCACATAACATCAGTGACTCTGGAACACCTAAATGGTGCTTATAAGGTTGAGGATGGTGATGGACAAGAGAGAGATCCTTACCTAAAGGAACATGGTGTTATCACTTATCTTGTTATCAACCCAAAGGTACAGGTCTTCCCTTGAATAAAAGAAATACCAGTCATGAAAGAAACTGATTTAAAATCGCATTACTTCCATGTGTGTTCAGGTGGAGCGTCGGAGCCCAGAACCTTATTATCGACCCAGATACACTCTTGATGGAGCAAAAATGAGAGCCTCAGTCAGGATGACCCGATATCTGAAGTCATGGGGAGCAGCCAAGCCCTTTGCCAACCTCCACCACAGAGACAGCATGACAAATGAGAATGGCAAGATTAGCACTTCTGTGTGTATTTCATGTTATTCTAGACCAATTGTATTATTCATGTGATGAGTAGCACATTTGTTGGTGCCAGCCTATGCTGTATCCGCTCTTGATCTGTTTTAAGGATGTGCCGATGGGACGGTATCATTTCCAGAGGAGATCAGAAAGGTAAGGTGCCATTTTATCTTTGATATTAAATTATGTAATGAGACTGTATTTTAATCAGAGGCCTTAATGTCTAAAACATAGCTTCAATTGTATTTTCTTCTTTGCACTCTTTTTTAATAAAGGACAAAGTCTCAGAAGAAAAGGTTTGAAGAGGAATTTAATGAAAGGATGATCAGGACGTTTGACGGAATAAACTCACAAAAGTAATCTTTTCTTTTTTACCTTTCTGTGTTTAGTACATTATAAACAAACAGAGTTTAGAGCTAAAACCATGTCTTAAAGTTGCTATTTATATCTGGGGTTCTTCCTCTTTCTTAAAAACTGTTTTGCAGAACAGTTTAGTATTTCTTGTTGTTTATTTCAGAAAGGGAAACTTGTATATTATGTTTACACTTGGTCCCTGACATGTAAAGATCTCAGATAAATTGCTTGTGCAAAGAAAAAGTTGGTATGTTGCAGGTGTTCTGCTCAAATTACAAATTTTTTATAGCTGCAAATTGCTGTGGTATGCCCTATTCAAATGAGAATTTGTCTTTACTGAGAGTAGAGGGAATCACTTTACCCATGCTAAGGACAGTTCAAATTTGTTGTTACTGTAGAATTCCCTTTAGTACCTAGACAGCTTGCACATCATATGGGAATTGTCAAGGCAAATGCTTTGAATTCAAAAATCGCAGAATGTTATCAAAATTTGCCCCAAAATTTTTTATTTTATTTAGTGTGGACAAATAAGAAATTTTGAGAGTGAAACTGTGAAAGGACCCTGAATATACCAAATTATGAATAATATTATTTTTTGTTTACATTCCACCCAGGTTTTATGAAAGCTTGACTGCTTTTTGTCTGTTTTTTTTTTAGACAGTGGCTCAAGTCTGAGGACATTCAAAGAATATCATTGTTTTTTCATAACAGATCATTGGAAAAAGAGGTAAGAGATGTTTTAAGTAACTATGCCTGTATCGCTTCTTGGGTGAATTAAAAGTACATAAACCATTATTGTTTAAAAATTTTCCCTTTTTCTTGCGCTGTCTACATTGAGCTTAGAATGTAACTTTGTGTATCATGTGTTAAAGTGTATCTTGATTGCACAGTCCAAAAGATTCTGAAGAAAATATCTCATAGAAATGTATTGTTGACGCAATGCCATTCAAATGTTTTCTTTTGTGTTTTTTCTGTTTAGTACCGAGCAACAACCTTGCCTGCATTTAAATACTATGTCACCTGTGCCTGCTTGATCTTTTTCTGCATCTTTGTTGTGCAGATCCTGGTTCTACCAAGGTGAGTTAGATTCCTTTCTCTCTGTATATATATGTATATATATATATATATATATATATATATATATATATA